TTTGAGTCGATCACTGGCTATGGCCTTGGTGGATCATCCATGGCTTTGTTTGGAAGAGTCGGTGGAGGTATCTATACAAAGGCTGCTGATGTTGGCGCTGACCTTGTAGGAAAAGTGGAAAGGAACATTCCAGAAGATGACCCAAGAAATCCAGCTGTAAGCCACATTGCTTTTCTAAAGTCCAAATATGTAGCATTTTCTCCTTGGAAGCTTATAGTAGTTTGCTTCTATCCTTACTTTGGCAGGTGATTGCTGATAATGTTGGTGATAATGTTGGGGATATTGCTGGAATGGGGTCTGATCTTTTTGGCTCTTTTGCCGAATCATCCTGTGCTGCACTTGTTATTGCTTCCATCTCCTCTTTTGGAATAGATCTTGACTTTACTGCAATGTGTTATCCCTTGCTCATTAGTTCAGTTGGAATCCTTGTATGTGTGATAACCACCCTCTTTGCAACTGACTTTTTTGAAATCAAATCTGTCAAGGAAATTGAACCAGCGTTGAAAAAACAGCTCATTATCTCCACTGTTCTTATGACTGTGGGTGTTGCAATTGTTAGCTGGATTGCCTTGCCCCCATCTTTCACTATCTACAATTTTGGAGATCAGAAAGTTGTGAAGAACTGGTAAGCTTTGCATTTTTTTCCATCCTCAAAAGTTCAAAGAATATATGAATCTAGGTTGTAGAGGGGCATCGATGTTGATAATTTATGTTATGTTAGTCAGACAGTGAAGGAACTTAATCTAATTTGTGCTATGTAATATAGGAGTAAATGTTGGGTGCAATGATTACTCAGTTAGACCACGTCAGCATTGTCATGTGGTGTAATTATCCAATAACAACTCACCAAATAAAAAAAATAGACCCCACTCATTTAAATAACTCTCTCTCCATGTAAGATAGTAACATGTAAAAATGTGGGGTCACCTTGTCCACTTATTTATTTAAATTGGACAGTTACACCATGTGACAATGTTGACGTGGTGTAACCGTTATACCCAATATTTACTCGTAATATGGACCTTAGTAGGCTGTAGTTTGGCTTTTCAAGCAGTCTTGTAGTTGACAAATTTTGTAATGGATAAGTTATTCGGCAGTTGTCTATGTTTTATGTTTTGATTGATTAATATAATTGCATGTTTTATAAGAACATGCAGTCAAGTGAACGCAAATGTGATTTATTATAACATTATGTATGTGAATTCCTAGGTTTATTAGGACTTTACGGCAGCAAATGTCCCTTCCAGGAGCATCCAACTTAGAATTCATCGCATTCAAATTATTTGTATTTGGACACAATCCCCTGTTCTGATTGCTTATGGACATTGTGTGGATTGTTAGTGGTCTAAGACTCTAAGGTGTTGAATGATCTAGTTCTGGGCTTTTACTATTGCTTTCATGACACAATTATACAGAATCATCTGCTATATGAGCCGAGTGAATTGAATTAATAACTAGTGTAAACTCTAAAGTGATTCAGTTAGAGGTGTTTTCAAGGATTTGCAGAAGAGAGGTTTGCACATGGAATGCTCAGTAAAATAAACTGGCTATTTTCTTAATTTGTTTCATATATTGTGTTTGGTTCGTCCCAGGTATAAGTTTTTTGCTTTCTTTACCCGTGTTTTAAAATCCGGTCTAGCCCACTGGGTTAACCCCGAGAACTTTCCAACCGGTTGCTGAACTGGGCCAGTTTTAAATAGGATTGTTCAAGTAATTGACCCATCAAAGAACTGTTTAAACCGGCCAAAACTGGACATATTTTCTAGAATCCATTCTAATTGGGACGGTTTTCACAAATCCAGACTAATCCTTCTTTTAATTTTGGAATACCATAAACATTATAACTTTAGCTAATGGTCCGTTGGCCCAGTTTGAACCATCTCCAAACAATCCAAGGTCTGAATATCATGCTCACTTGTCTTTAGCTTCTAATTTCCATAAGTTTTTCTTCTTTTCTGTTACTTTTGGCAATTGCATGCGTATAATGCAGCTAGTCTCATTGCTTTGCAGTGCATGCATTTGTACTTTTTCTGTTGTTAAAAAGTGTAGATAAACAATTGCATAATCAATTTGGTTTTGCAGGCAGTTGTTCTTGTGTGTGGGTGTTGGTCTTTGGGCTGGACTTATTATTGGATTTGTGACCGAGTATTTCACCAGCAATGCTTATAGGTACTTGTGTTAACTTCTCTAGATTCCTGTTTTGTTTTGCTATGATGGTATCTTTCCTGACTAACCCTTATGTTTCATTTGTTTCAAAATTTCCCCTTGCCCTATGCAGCCCCGTGCAAGATGTCGCTGATTCCTGCAGGACTGGCGCTGCCACTAATGTTATCTTTGGCCTTGCCCTGGGATACAAATCTGTCATCATTCCTATTTTTGCCATTGCAATAAGTATTTTTGTTAGTTTCAGTTTCGCTGGTATGTATGGTATTGCTATGGCTGCCCTTGGAATGCTGAGCACCATTGCTACTGGATTGGCAATTGATGCTTATGGTCCCATCAGTGACAACGCTGGAGGCATTGCTGAGATGGCTGGTATGAGCCACAGAATCCGTGAGAGAACTGATGCCCTTGATGCCGCTGGAAACACCACAGCCGCTATTGGCAAGGTGTTATGATAATATGTTGTGCTTTGTTTGTTAATGTGGTTGATTTTTGCATGCATATACCTATTAATCATGCATACGAACATGAAACCCTTTATAGGAGGTGTACATTTATGCTGTGCTCATATGAAGTTGCTACCATACTGCTTTAGCAGTTGTTAATTTTTTGCTCTGGATATCCATTGTGTTGTCGGGACTATGCTTTTCAACCACAATTCTAAGAAATTTAGGCAGTAACACTGCATGCCTAAAAAGACACCTTTTCTGACTATATAATTTGATTGAACTCGTACNTCTAAGAAATTTAGGCAGTAACACTGCATGCCTAAAAAGACACCTTTTCTGACTATATAATTTGATTGAACTCGTACTAAATTGTGCTGCTGCTTTTTTTTGGCAGTTAGCTGCCATATGAACTTAAAAGTTGTATTTTTTATTTCATTTTGTCAACATACGCTGGCCGCCACTGAAATTGAGTTTCTATTGTACCTTTCTTTGTAGGGATTTGCCATTGGATCTGCTGCACTGGTTTCATTGGCGTTATTTGGTGCCTTTGTGAGTCGTGCAGGAATTTCAACCGTTGATGTGTTGGATCCAAAGGTCTTTGTTGGTTTGATTGTTGGTGCCATGCTTCCCTACTGGTTCTCTGCCATGACCATGAAGAGTGTGGGGAGTGCTGCTTTGAAGATGGTTGAGGAAGTTCGCAGGCAGTTTAACACCATCCCTGGTCTCATGGAGGGCCATGCCAAGCCTGACTATGCCACTTGTGTCAAGATCTCCACTGATGCATCAATCAAGGAGATGATTCCACCTGGTGCCCTCGTTATGCTTACACCTCTCATTGTCGGAACATTATTTGGGGTGGAGACACTGTCTGGCGTTCTTGCTGGCTCTCTTGTTTCTGGTGTTCAGGTAAGGTTGAAAACAAATAATAGCTGCAAGCAAATATTATGTTTTACTTTTTATCTATAATTTTCACGAAGCAAGGAGATTTAATCATAATATTAATCATAAATTCTTGGAAGTACGTGTCAACATCTTCTTTTATGTTTGTCATTAAATTTTGTTCTTACCTGCCATATTTGCTAACAGATAGCAATATCTGCATCCAATACTGGTGGTGCATGGGACAATGCTAAGAAGTACATTGAGGTAATCAAATGTTGTCTAGATGGTTGCTTTTTTCTGTTTTAAATATCAAGATTTTCTGATGTTGATGTTTTATCAGGCTGGTGCATCTGAGCATGCTAGGACCCTTGGGCCAAAGGGATCTGAACCACACAAGGCAGCTGTCATTGGAGACACTATTGGAGACCCCCTCAAGGACACTTCAGGACCATCGCTCAACATTCTTATCAAGCTCATGGCAGTTGAATCACTTGTTTTTGCTCCCTTCTTTGCCACCCATGGTGGCTTGCTTTTTAAGATCTTCTGACACAAGTTGACGAGAAAGAAACACATGGAGAAGGTGGAGTTTGATACCTTTTTGTTGTAGGTCTCTCGGCCCCTAATTATGTTTGTGGCACCATGTCTTGACCATCCTCCGCATTCTTAGTGAATGTCATTTTTTATGATGAGCTGATGAGGATACTTGTTAGGGTAAGAATGATGATGAAAATTCGTAACAAATGAGAGTGTCTCGAACATACATGTTAGGCTTTTTATACTTTTTAGAACAGCTAGTTGCCTTATTTACTTTGTAATGTTAGCTTTTCGATTAGATCAAGGGTATCATGGACAAAATGGGGTGCTTAATTTTTTTGTTTTCTCTTGTTACTCTATTAATTGGCTTCTGTGCTTTTGCTTGCATTCTTATCTTTTGAGAAATTTTCTCTTTATTATTTGTCTAATCTTGAAACCGTTTGTGTTGGTTAGAATCAGATAATTCTTCACAAGCTGCTGTGTTACGATCTTGCTAAAGGTTCAACCAAACCAGTCCTACAGTGGCTATAATATCACAAGTTCGAGTTGCAAAAAGATGACTGAAAGGGCAACCTATAAACATGCGAATTTTTTGAATATTAGTTAGTGGGGTGATCAAAGAGGGCCTTATCATTGGGTCACTGCTGATAAAATGTCTCAATTCTAAGGTAATTCAAGTAGTAACAGATATGATTTGTAAATTCAAACGTCATGAATTCGAATTTTGGCAAACTCTTTTGGGCTAATTTATAAGGGATTGATTTCTCATAAATATTTTAGTCTCGGCATGGATAATTTATCTTTGATCGGATCAGGGTAGGGAGTAGTCGAGGTGTACTAGTTGGTCCAAACATGTCTGATTATTAAACCTAAAAAAAAAGTCTCTGTGGGTAGTAGATGCCATTAGTTCTGGGGCTTTTGTAACAATGGTTAAAATGTTGCAACTAGTAGGACAAATCTGTTCTGGGGCTTTTGAATTGAAACAATGGTTAAAATGCTTCAACCAGTAGGACAAAGGGCAAGGCTACAAAGACTACTGATTAGAGAATTATTATGTTTGAGTACTAAAACAAACAAACCACAGCTGAAGACACCATAAAGAGAATGGAGCAGAATGTCCTTCCAAGTTTTACAGCCATTGAACTATATTCAAGACCATTACAAAGGAGGTTAAGAGATCTCAAACTTGTGCTAGAAACTCTGTTTTAGTTTTACGTAGGTGTCCACTGAACTTTCGGAAGACCACTAGAGAGAGGAGAGTAAGAGAGCTCAAACTTGTGCTATGTGGAGTGCTCTCATCCCTCTCTGATAATATTCGAAGTGAATATCTGCATAACCTTTCACCTTCTTGAATATCTGTGGCTTTTCCTCACTGACCAACCCATCTTCTGGTCCAATCTCTCTTCCTCCCTCGGGTGTATAGAAGACAGCCACAGAGATCCTGTCCTTCTCCGCGTTACTCAGTACTCGGTGCACTGGACTCTTGAATATTCCATTGGTCATTATCTGTTTAATATCAATAAAAAAAAAATAATGAAGAGTAAATCATTCATATGCATCTAGTATACTTGTGCATATTGCAATTCATCATTCGAAATACTGTTGCATTAAGCGGGGTTTAAAACAAGCTAGCTACTTGAGTCGGATTGGATTGGTTCAGGTAGAGTCTGGCTAATCTTTCATATTTGATCAAGTCTCAACCTTCGATGTATCGAGTTGACGGAATGGAACTTCACTGGAGAGTTTGCTTTTAGTGCTAAAATGTGAATTTTCTGGGAAATGAAGCAGCAGATGAAGAACACATTTACCTCCATTTGATCACCCATAAGAACTAGGAGAGCTTGAGAAAGGTTGGGAACTGTGAGCCATTTGTCATCTTTCAAGACTTGAAGGCCTAGTTCATCTTGGTAGATAATGGTATATCCTGATCCATCTGCATGGGGTTTTAAGCCAAGAACACGATCAGGCCTTTGACAAAGTGAGTAGTAGTTAAACCTTGCTTGCAAGGGTCCTCTTTCACCAAACTGATTCAAAAAGCAATTCTCTTCCAGATTCAGAGACCTTGCCATGGCTTTGGAAGTGAGCTCTGTTACCTTCTTAATCTTCTCTGTGTACTCTTCTAAAACGTTCCTGCACAAAACAAACCACTCCTACACATTGTCATCTCAGTGTATTAGATGTACTGAAGAGATTTTGTGTTTGGGGAATAGGGCTCTTACATGTTCAAGCTCAGTTAACATCACTGTTGCAGAATCTGTTTTTTATTGTTGGTTTGGAAGGAGGAGGAAGGGAGGGAGTTGGAATGACAGAGGACACACCTGAAAGGTTTTGGGTTTTCCGGCCAGAATTTGAACTTTCTTAGATCTTCAGGATACACATCAAGAAAGAGACGATCAGACCAGTCAAGTGACTGGCCTTCTTCAGGGACAGGATCAGCCCCATACCCTTCAAAATCCACAACAGTTTTGGCGATCTTCTTCTTCTCTTCCATTGGCTGTTCAAAGAATTCCCTTGTTACCTGGCGAATCTTATTCAGGAATGAACTTGAAATCCCATGATTTATTGCCTGAACAGCCACAATTAGTCATTGAGTAAAGCCTGAAAAGTTCTTTTTTCTTATAAAAGAAAACAGTACACAAGCTTTGAGATAGAAAAGCAAGTTCACAGAAGAATGTTCATCAAGTTCAAGCCTATTTAATAACGCTGTCTAGTTCCTATACTCTATCCTTTTAATCATCTTACCCTTGCAAGCAAGCAGAGAGATTGGATTCGAGTCACGAAAACGCCCTCTCTACTTGCAAAGATAAGGCTGCATACATTTAACCCTCGTAAACGCCGCAATGACGCGAGTCTCGTGCACTAGATACACATTTTTATCTTGTTCTTTACCACTGTTTACCAAATTTTAATCCACCAATGCAGAAAATGCTCCAGTTTTCTGTTCTTATATGAGGCCAGAAAGTTTATTTTCAACAGGTCGGCACGAAGTGATTCATCATGCTCAAACATGAATCGATTGTTCACTGGGGACGGTTTATAGATAGATCATCTAATTCTCAAAGAAAAGAGAAATAGAAACTATATGGACTGCATAAAACATTTGATCACTAGTATTCCTAACTACATGTATGAAATTTGAGCTAGGACGACCTGAAAACATCCCCACGAAGATAGAGCTGATTTAAGTTTCTCTAATTCGTCATTTTTTTCACTGAGGAGGCTTAGATCAATGACAGGTATTGGAGAAACTGGGGAAAAATCCTCTTCAGTAGCTTCATCATCTCTACAAATATATGGTGCCGGTGGCTCCTCGCCGTTGAGAACCATCTCTTGTACTCTTTTTGACAGTAATACCTCCGCCGGCAGAATGGAAACTCCGGCCATGTTTTCAGGTTTTCTACTAAGTTTCAGACTGTAAGGATGAAATCTTCCTTTAGAACCAGGAAATCTTTGTTTCTTTGTCTTCCTTTAGAACCAGGAAATCTTTGTTTCTTTGTCTATGGAAGGATGACTATGAAGTTGTTAATGTTGTTGATTGGCTTAGAGTGACCAATGGTTAGGACCTGATGGAAGCATATTTGTATTCTTCTATTGGATCTGGCCACAACATATTTCACTCCATTGACCTTATGCAAAACAGCAGATAAGCTTTGTGTGTCAGATATTTGTTTGTTACAAAGTTTTATTCATCCATTGTGGTTCTTTAGATGTTTTGAATTTTCAACCCATCAGCTGACTCATGACCATTTGGTAGGTTAAGCCATGGTTTCTATGGATGACCTGTCTCGATCAGACCAACAAGGAGATCAGTCAAAATACACATAAAATGGTTCGAACAACTAATATTAAGTTGATGAATGTGAATAACTAGAACCGTGGCATACATCATATTTGTGTAATATTTTCCAAAAACCTTGTTTTCTTTTTTGCTCGGGAAGATCGTTTTCAGTACAACACACAACTTTGATGTTACCAAAACTTACTCCAATCCAAGCATGAGATTCCATCTTGCGTTTATATCTATAAGAACTATGTTTTTATCTATAAGAACTAGAGGTAACTTATGTTTGAAAGTACGGTATAATGTGAATGATTTTCAAGGACATATTAGTGATAGTTTGATTAGTTTATTTGAAATTGTCAGATGAATTTAATAAAACCTACGCTATGTTATATTATAAATAGGTTGTTGGATTTATCAATGTCACCAAGGTATGATACTCTTAGCAGAATAATCACTCTACAAGATGAATAATTCCTTGGAATTATTGAAGGCTTGGAAAATTGCTACAAGTCTTAAATCAGTGGTTGTTGGCTCCACCCAGCCATGCCTTGGGGCCCACAGATCTATCACTACTGCACTGTCCCAATAATTGAGCAACATTGTATTTCCTAAGAAGATTATATACCCTACTAACTCAACTCAACTTAATCTAATCCAGTTAGATCATGTGTCAATAAATTTTACTTAAATAATTGAACTTTTTAAGATCTGTCACAAAATTTTAGACTTTATTTTGGTATTTTAATTTTGTTAAATTATGTTAGACCTTATTGAATTGTATTATTGGTAAGTGCACATTGTTACTAATCGCTGACAACGTTATACTCACCACTTTTTGCACCATCTTTATTAGTTTTGTCAATCGTGTTGAGTGAGACGGATTCGTGTCAAAAAAATATTTCACACATGCTCAATTCGTTTATTAATTTATGTCTAATGAATCATATCATATTGAATTCGTGTAGTGTATGAACCGTGTATAATTGATATATAAACGAGTTGTGTCGTATATTTTTTTCTGATTGGTTTTATATATACCCGATTTATTTATTAATCATATCGCGTCGGGTCTACTCGTTTACTAAAAAAATTCAAACCCTCTAATTTTATATTGTGTTAACGAATCGTGTCATATTTTAACAACTCTAATTTTTATACATCACTACAGTATCAATCATTAGATAGTACAATATCTTAATACCATCATATCTTATCTAAAGGAAGAATGAAAATTTTCTCTTTTTCTTGTCTTGTTTGCATTCTTTAGTGGTGATATTTGTATCTAGGCAAAAAAATCCTTTCCAAATTTACTCCTGAAATGACCAACTATTATATTTAGTTTGTATTTTTTTTGCTTTTGTTTTGGAATTTGCTTATCAAAAGTGATTATCGATTGATTGATCATTAATATTCACTAAACACGTGAATTTCCGAGAAAGTAATTTATTGAAAGCATGAATTTCAATTAAAATAATTTACTAAAAATATGAATTTCAAAGAAAGTAGTCCACGACTTTATTTTACGATATTTCACTTAAAATAATTCACGTACAACGCATGTGCATCTAATTAGTTTATTGAAATTGAACTTGATAGTGTAAATAATTTATTCATACACTTTTTCTTAAATAAGTTTATAAAATTATACCCACAACTAAAAAAACCCTATTTCTAACTATATTAGGCTGGACTCCAAGTTTACTTGAAAATTTCAAACAGCCCAAACCTACAAGGCCCAAAACAGGAAAAGCTAGTAAACACAAAATCCTTCTCTTTTTTTTAGCTCAGCATTTGATCATCGTTTACAGCTTCTGAAAGCTCTCAAGCTGGACCAAATTCTCGAAAATTTCATACAATATAATTTTATAATCTGCGGCCATCGCGTGCGATGTACGATAATTATTGCATTTTATAATTTTTTTGGTTTAAAGTAGCTAAACATTAAAAAATAAAATAAAAATAAAAAAGGGAAGAAAGACATCCAAGGTCTGTCACAACTAAATTATTTTCTATAAGAATATAAAAACCTGAGAAAAATAATATTATTAATTATCTAATTTAAATTATTGATTTATTTTTATATTCTAATGATTGAACAAAACTGCATTCTTTATTGGAATTAAAATATGCCATCAAACTTGTTTTTATATCCTCATCAACCTAGATTATGACAATTTTACGGATAATAAAACGTAACGATTCTAACTACGTAATTCTCACTAACCCATTATAATATGTCTCACATGAGACAATCGGATAATTACAACGTCGTGGGCTTAGTCATAGATTTGATTCATGGTGTTTGTTGAATTTAATTATCATTTATAATTAAAAAAATTTAGAGACCGGTCTCATTATATGCACTTATCTGAATTTAAGTTCATCAAAAAAAATTATTTGTTATAAAATATATTTTTTGTCAATTTTACTAGACTATTAAAAGTAAAGTAAAACTAAAAATTAAAAACTCATAAATTTTAGAAGTTTCACTAACATTAAAATTTTTTCTTGTTCATATATATCCATATGTGTATATATATATATATATATATATGATAGCATTAAAAATAAAAAATAGTAACATTCAAATATATAAAAAATATATATATCATTTAAACACAAAAAATAATACCATTTAAATACAATAAAAATAATAACATTTAAATATAAAAAAAATAGTAACGTGTTTAACAAAAACAGTAAAATGTCAAACAAAAAAAATAGCAATATAGAACATTAAACAAAATTAAAAATAAAAATAGTAGCATTAAAACCCATAATCGGAGGAAGAAGCCTCCAATTCTTCAACATCCAAAAAAATAATAGCATACTTAATAAAAAATAATAACATGGTCAATTAGAAAAAATAGTAACATAGTTAACAAAAAAATATAGTAACATGAAATATTGATAAAATTTGGGAATTATTTATCAAAAAATAAAAATAAAATTGAGTATCAAACTAATAACACATTGAACAAATTTTTCAACCTTTTTCTTTACGAAAATCAACGACATAGAGTAATTGTTGATGATGTTCTAAACCCTAATAATTTTAATGCTATGGAGGAAGAACTGATAGCTAAGAAGAAAGATTTGTAGTACTTGAATGATAATCTTCTTCTAATGAGATAGAGATAAAGAATATATATTTGAATTTTAATTTAAAAGTGAATTAAAGGATAATAATTTATAATTTAAAAAATTAATTTAAAATTACTTTAAAGGTTTTTAAGGTTTCTATAATTAAACATAATAACATTATTAAGAATATTTTTAGAATTTAAAAAAATAATAAATTTAAGTAATTATTAGTAAGATAAAAAAATAGACTTATCACTAAATAAATTTTTTTGACTAATTCAAGTCATTATAAATTCATATAAGATAAGATGACTCTGCTCCAATTTTTACTTATAATTAATGAGTGATCGTGGATATCGGATTAGCAATTACAATTAATGAGAGGTGGTGGATATGGGAATATTGCAATTTAAGAGAGACACGAAAATGAAAGTCTATGGGGTCGCTTCTGCAATCAGTATTGAAAACTTTTCTTTCCTAAAATGCCCTACGTTTTTGTGTTGGTCGATGCTGCCTATCACACGGTTTTTAATATAAACAGACATTATGGAGTCATGTAAAGCAATAGAGTAAGGGCGAAGTATGGTATCCTGAATTTGCTTTGGGGATAAACATTAAAATCTTCGTCAACTTGTTAAAACCAAGCCAAGCAACGTCGCTTTTCAGTTCATCGAATCCACTCGATGATGACAAAGTAAGCACATTTGTCTTATACATCTCCGTTCAGTCTCATCTAGCTTCTTCGTTATCTCATCTCCGTTCACCCAATCTCTCTCTCTCTCTCCCTCTCTCTCTCTCTTCACACAACATCTCGGATTTCCAGGTCTCTCTTTGTGTTTTCCATTCTTTTACTTTTTGACCCAACTGAAGATTTTTTGCTTAAAAAATCGATTTTGATTATTGGGTATATGTTATTTTGCTAAAATTTGTTGTTCTGCAGAGATATTTGTAATGGGTAATGCTTCATCAACGTTAACTCAGTATGATATTGAGGAAGTCCAAGAGCACTGCAACAATTTATGTGAGTCTCCTTACGCATTTATGGTAATATGATTCTTGGGTTTGTTTCTTTTTTGTTATTTATAGATTAATCCAATGTTGAATTTGTTTTTTTTTTTTTTAAAATATTAGTTTCCCAGCAAGAAATAGTGTCACTATACCAGAGATTTTGCCAACTTGATCGGAATGCAAAGGGTTTTATTTCAGCCGATGAGTTTTTATCAGTGCCAGAGTTCGCAATGAACCCGCTTTCTCAGGTAGTCTTTTTGAGTGTTCCTACTGTATGCTTGTGGTGTTTTGATGGTTTATTTGAGTGTGTGTGGCTCTGTGGGGTGTGTGTTCTTTACTGTTACAACTTAAACATGTTTGATCATTGAACTGTTTTGGATTTTGTGCTTCTTTAGAGGCTGCTTAAGATGGTGGATGGTTTGAACTTCAAGGAGTTTGTAGCATTCTTGTCTGCTTTTAGTGCTAAAGCAAGTATGCCGCAGAAAATTGAACGTAGGTGTTACAAATAAGCCTCTTCTGTACTCTGTTTTATCTTTCAAGTGTTTCATCCTTTAAGTGCCCTTGCTCATGTTGCTGAATCTGTATTGTTGCTATTTGTTCAAGTGATAAGAATAAATACACCTGTAGACAAATTTGTTTCGATCGATAGGAATCTCATGTTTGTTCTGTTATATACTGGAAAAAACTTAGGTGTGATTTCAATGGCAGTGGGGTTGTTTAGTTTGATGATGCAGCTCTCACACAATCTTTTTTGGGCGGTGGGATTAATGATGACTATCATGATGAAGTTGTGATTTCATATTTGAGGTAGCTCTGGTGGCTTTGTGTTTATTGGTTTAATGCTAAACGTATATGCATATTCAGGGGAATGATGCTTTATTTCAAAACTGCATGCATACCATTGCTAGGATTTTGTGGAGTACTTAGCTTTGGAAAATTTTGAGTTATGGGTGTATATCTGAAAAGCTACTTGGAGAACTCGAGAAGCTGTTAGTACTAGCATTTGAGAGGAGGAAAGTAAACTGCACATCACAAATTTATTAGATTGTCAATGCAAACTTATCCACGTAACTCATAAATTTTAAATCCGGATTTTTACTTCTAATTGCTACCACATTACTTGTGAATATTTTGTGAAACATTGCATTAAAGGCAATATTAAAATTTCGTTCTTTGAATTTGGTACTAAACGCATCATCAGAAAATACTCACAATTGGACACCTTCCAGAGCATTTGTTGGTCAGTAATCAAAGATTGGTTTAGCTTAGTTTACAATATGCATAAATTCACCCAGTTTGAAAGGAATATCCACGTCTTTTCTTCCAATTAATACTTTATTTTTGCTAATTATTTTTTGTGATCTGATATTCCATTGGATTTTTAGCATTTTGCAAGGAATATAAATTTGCATTGAATTTGATATTCCTATCCTCCTGGACCATTTGGCCATTCTTTGGTGTTTTATTAGACTTTATCAAATGCTTCTTTGTGTCAGTTATCTTTAAAGTGTACGATACCGATCGTAATGGGAAGGTGACTTTCAATGACATACTGGATGTGCTGCGGGACTTGAGTGGCACATTCATGTCAGACAAGCAAAGAGAGGTATTACGGGGCTACATTTAATCCACATTTTTATTTTTCATCATAGCATATCTGTCCATATATAGTTTGCATTTATTGCTCTCTCCAGCGGAATATGTAGGGGGTCTTTCATAACATATTTGGATTAAGTGTGATGTTATGTTGCTTTGTAAAGCATGATTAAAATGCTTTTGGTGGAGCACTCTAACGTTTAGACATGCATACTTGTTGATTTTGGTGTTAGATTACTGTCATAAGTACCACACAAATCGTATTGGTCTTTCTTCATATTTGCTTTGTATAACTTTTCTGCGTATACTCTCTTGACCCTTTGAATTGTGTATAACAATTGATTTCATAACTATTGCTCTGGAAACCCGACTATTTTTTGTAATTTGATTGATACTAGTAAATGATGTAAAAGNCTCTCTTGACCCTTTGAATTGTGTATAACAATTGATTTCATAACTATTACTCTGGAAACCCGACTATTTTTTGTAATTTGATTGATACTAGTAAATGATGTAAAAGTCATGGATTTCTTCATAATTGTGTTGTCTTCTTTGACAATATATGTGACAGCTTGGATTGCTTTCCACATTTTGTTTACTCGTGGTTGCATTATCTTGCTACTTTAGATGTTACAGGAAAATACCAAGTTCCTTGCTCCCTCTGTTTTATGTTTTGCAGGAAGTCTTGAGCCAAGTTTTGCAAGAAGCTGGTTATACGAGGGAATCTTCTTTATTGTTGGATGATTTTGTTAAGGTTCTTTGTCTTCCATATTGTTTTTCCCGTTACAACTTTTGAAACTATACGAAAGAGACAAGAATAATGGTGAATGTGAAGAGAAAAATGCAGAGAAGGCTACTCGACCAGGCCAGAAAACGAAGTTTTTAATGTCAAAGTTCAAAGCCCAAAACAAGTCAGAAATATGATCAACTGGAAGGCACAGCCAACCCCCCCACCTTTTCCCCCCTTTTCTCTAAAGATCTAGTATGAAAAATAAAATTCTGTAATAGAAGCTAATTAGAAACTCAAAGGGATATCTCTCATTATGTTTGTCTTCTTTTGGTTATGTTTATCATCAAAATTTACCGTTTGTTTCAGATTCTCGACAAACCTGGCCTGAAAATGGAGGTGGAAGTCCCTGTTGATTAAACTAAACCTGCAGTCCCTGCTCTTCTGAACTGTTGAGAGAACACTCAGCCGACCCTTTGTATAAATTGTTTTTCTTCTTGATGAAAAAAAAACTGGGTCAGTAATAAATTGTATGCAAAGTGTATTCTAATAAAATTGAGCTTATTAATGAACGTTTTCGTCTTTGCATTACCTATCCATACCTGAGTGTTTATCTGTGTGGCTCAGCGTTGTTAATGTTTTTATTGCATTGTTTCACTGACAAATTCAACAGTGTAAATCACTTGGCCACAAATCAGTGTATTTATTTGATTTATATGTAGACGTTGATTACATAAACGTGCCGAGTTCAAAATTTTACAGTGGATGTCAAAGTTTAATTTGTACCACCGATCTATTGATAGGGTGAAATCATATAATAAATCTCCATGGTAACAAACATAATATTTGTTCATTATCACCTTGTGCAGTCGTACAAAAAAACCAACTTGTACATTGACTATAGTTGGGGGAATTTCAAATAACTACAGAAGAAGCATAGTTCAAATTTCCCCTCTATAACCCCCAGATCCAAAATAATCTCGTCTTGAACTAGCAATTTGCATACTTTTTTGATGCTCTAACTTGGGACAATCACGGATACGATGACCGAGCCCACCACAGTAAACACATCCTTTCACACCACTGGCACTTGCAATTGCCTCCACATCTTCCATTGGATCGCTGAGCTCAGCCAAAACGGGTGGTATCCTTTGTTTTGCTTCTTGCAGCAGGTGTTTCAGGTCAAGAAGTGTTGTTTCGCTCTGATTCTTGTTAATGAACGTTGTGGCTATTCCAGTCTTCCCACATCTTCCCGTTCGTCCAATCCTATGAACATAGTTCTCAATCTCGGCTGGCATATCATAGTTTATTACATGCTGAATGTCGGGAAAATCCAAACCCTTCGATGCAACATCTGTGGCAACCAGTACATCTTTCTTGCCTGCTTTGAAGGAAGAAATGGCATATTCTCTCTCTTCTTGATCCTTGCCTCCATGAATTGCCACTGCTTCAACTCCCTTTAAAAGAAGATATTCATGAATGTCATCCACATCAGCTTTGTTCTCACAAAATATTAGAACAGGAGGAGGGGTCTTTTGCAAGCATTCAAGAAGGTAAACAATCTTCGCCTCCTGCTTCACATATTCAACTTCTTGAATCACGTCAAGATTCGCCGCTCCCGCCCTTCCAACATTAACAGTAACAGGCTTAACCAAAGCACTTCTAGCAAAGTTTTGAATCTTTGTGGGCATGGTAGCAGAAAAAAGAAGGGTTTGCCGTTGAGCTTTAAAGTGATCGAACACTTCTCTTATGTCATCTTCAAAACCCAGATCAACCAGCCTATCTGCCTCATCCAAACACAAATACCTGCAGATAAAAATAACGCTGTGAAAATCATGTTCCATAAAAGATATATCCAAATAAGCCATCATATTGTATAATCTTAATAAACAGCCAATTATCATAAGAAACATGTCCACAATTCTAAACACACTATTCCAAGAAGATCATAGCAACTCAAACATGAAATATACGTGGTCAGTAGAACACAAATAGCAACATAATTATATAGGCAGCTGACAATACATACATGTAACTGAAATTCCAATTGCATGTGTGTGAACAATTAAGTGCAACCGGCCTTACTCCTCACCATAAGGTTGGGAGTTCGAGTCTTAGAGTCCCCATTGGGGCTTGGTGGTTGACCGCTATGCTAGCCTACGTCTAGTCCTGAGAAGTGTTTCAGGCGCGGTCAGGGACCTTATGATCCCACTGGTGAGACCTATCGGGATGGTCGTTGGGCGCTCTTCCTTGTCTCCACCCCTTGTTTATTTATCAAAAAAAAAAAAAAAGACTCATTGGCAAGAAAGAAAAACATCACTCCCATTGGATTAGAACATGTCACCTTTATATACATAAACAAATTAGATATGAGTATAAAATAGTTAAAAGGAACAGGAAAGATAAAAATGTCCAAATCAGAACCAAGTAAATAACCAACATTGTGACGGTGTGAATTTTTTATCCAAACATGCAATTACTAATTATAAAGCCAGGCATCACTTTGAGAAGTAAAAATTTCACACCTAAACATCAGTTACACATTTTCTCATAGAGAAACCACAGCACATCACTAGAACATATGGCGCAAATCACAAAAAGTGAAACTGTGAAGTAATTTTCCAGTTGATTTCCTAACTTTGAATTCATATTTTATAAAAAAAAAAAAGAAGCAAAACTGTATATACAAGTCCAAACTATTTTTAATGAAAATAAATCATGCAAAAACCTATAAATTGATTGAAAAGCTATGGCAACATGAATTTCAAGTAATAGTACAAAATTAACTTTAAAGAAGACTGGAGCATGGCTCCATAACTGACAGAAATGCCAAAAAAAAAGAGATTAAATGCATGTTTTGAATTTTTAAACATGGTATGGGTATGTAAGGCATAAGAGCCCTTACCTACAATTATCCAAACTCATCTTCTTTTTAGCAAGCATGTCCTTCAACCTCCCAGGTGTAGCAACCACAATATGAACACCCTTCTTCACTACTTCCAATTGTGACCGCATATCAACACCACCAATACAAAGCAATGGCCTCAATTCTGGGTATCCATGCTCCCTCATAGGTATTAAAAACTGCTCCACAACTTCATAGGTCTGCCTAGCAAGCTCTCTAGATGGGCAAATGATCAATCCAAATGGTCCCTCCCCAGGAACGATGGGCATAATTAGCTCCTCTTGTAAGGCTACCATGATTAATGGCAAGACAAAAACCAACGTCTTACCAGAACCAGTAAAGGCAATGCCAATCATATCTCTTCCTGATAAAATAACAGGAAGTCCTTGAACTTGAATGGGTGTGGGTTGCACGATTCCCTTAGCTTTCAAATTCTTCAAAACAGGCTCCGGAAATCTCATATCCTTAAAAAATTTTATTGGAGGGGGAATATCTTCACCATCCACAATAATATGCCACTGCTTCCTAATGGCATCAAAAGCTGTTTTGGGCATCCTTCTAATGTGCAGTGGAGGTTTCCATCCCGTTGGCAAAGGATCACTGTATGTGATTCCCTTCGCAAGTTCACGAACAGACATTAAGGTCTTGCGGTCGGAGAGGTGTTCAATCATCTCCTTCTCTTGTTGTACCACTTGTTCTGTGGGACTGATTTCTGGCTGGTCACGCTTCAATTGAGAAGCCTTCACCAGTAAACTTGGTTTGACTTCGACCAGTTTCAACTTTTCTGTTTCCTCTTCAAATTCTGAAGATTTCCCTTTGCGTTGAAGAATCTTTTGTGCCTCCAGGGCCCTACGCTTTGCAACCGGAACATACTCGGCATAATCATCATCATCTTTCATTTCCTGCAAGATCTAAAAAGTGTTGGTGAACCAAAGGATTGGAAACTTTAAAGTTCAGCTTCAATTGTAAAGACTAACAAAAGCTTGCATGTATATTAGAATTTGAGATTGGGCTCGACTTACAACAAAAACATGCAAAAAAGAAATTCCACAATGCAAAAGGAATAAAATTAAAAATTACACTGAATCCAATCCAATAACGGTAATCCAAGTAGAAGTGTATTATTTAAAATTACGGGGATCATGATGCATTTTTAGGACCACAAAAAGTGAGAAAATTAATAGATGGAGCTATAGCTACAAAATGATCATGAAAAATATATCTACATGCAGATTCTAGTAAATGGTACAGATTCTTGTGTAGGTAAGAGCCTCTTTTTTAGAGGAACAACCAAAAAAAAGAGAAGTTGAATTTATTTAAGACAAAAACACTAAATACATCTACTTTTGGTTAAATTTCCAAAAGAACTCAGAAAACGTAAAGAATTAAGAGCTGCAGCTTGCAATGGAAAACAATATTGACTGAAATAATTTAAACGTAATGCAACTAGAACGCAACAAATATAAAATCATAATTAAATTCTCTTTATGCAATACTTTAAAGAACTTTATGCCTAAGTAGCCATTTAGCCAAATTGTTTAACAAGGACTTAAATGTGGTCAAAGATCAAATTTTTGCACAATGTCCTAAACAAAGCTAACAAGAAATACTGAAGAAATTGCCAGTAGTCTTTGGAATTCCTAACAAACTTGGGATGCTTTCAGACAAAGACCCACAACAAGGCACATAGAAATTAGACTCACTATACCTACTTCATGACTTTCATAGCAGACTCTTACTCAGTACTTCTATTAAGCAATTTGTGAGCCTCAGCTAACCAATGTTTAAAAATCACCAAACGAGATCTTTTCCGTTGAAAACGTAAATAGAAACCACAAATTGGAAAATTAAGCAATACCCTCATAACAATTCAAAGTAATTAATCAAATCCAACACCAGGGCAGTGTAGATTTATACACACACACACATAACAGCAAAAAGCAAATCAAATCTATAAAAAAAACAAAGTGGAAGGCAAAAAGGTGCGAAATACATACTCTTTGAGGACTGTTGGCAAGCGTAGTCATGGTAGCAGTGGGGCCGAACTGAAATCTCGCTATGGCGATGACGTAATCAGGTTGATTGTCGACGGTGAGTCAGAATAAACCCGTCTGAAAGATTCAACTTTGTTATGTAACGAAGCTTTCGAAGATTCAATTCTGTCGAGGTAGGTACTGTCTGTGACAAACTATCCAAAAAAACAACAAAAACTCAATAACCCTATCTCATGGTTCATTGATTGAGATCATTAAATCTGAAAGCTTTTATGAAAATATAGATAACAATAAGAGCTCAATCCGATTTCAGTAAACTCACCAGGATATATGGACGTCGATGTTCGGCGATGAAAGATCGCCGTTGCCGGAGAAGATTAATTACTCAATCCTCAAGCTGTTGGTGTCAATGTCTGATCTTACTTTTCGGTTTTTGTTATTTTGGATTGAAACCCTAAGGGGGTGTTTGGTTTGATGGATAAAGAAGGATAAAGCAAGTTGGATTGGATAAAAGTATCCGGGACCCACAAAACCCAGGTTTGGATCAAAACCTCTGTGCTCACTTTCCTTNTTGATGGATAAAGAAGGATAAAGCAAGTTGGATTGGATAAAAATATCCGGGACCCACAAAACCCAGGTTTGGATCAAAACCTCTGTGCTCACTTTCCTCTCTTTCTCCCTCTCCAGTCTCACGCCACTTTCCTCTCTCCCTTGCTACATACACAGCANCAAAAGTATCCGGGACCCACAAAACCCAGGTTTGGATCAAAACCT